CCCCAAAACCCCAAAACCCCAAAACCCCAAAACCCCATACGGGGTAAATAAATAGATTTATAGTGATGAGCGAATAAGAGTAATAATTAATAAAATAGAAAAATATGAAGACTATTTATCCTGCTAGGAGCTAAAATAGCATAATCAAATTCACTATTCTTGGTATCGTTTCAACTGCTCTTTTCCTATCAAATACTTTGGCTGCTGAGGCTGATTATGGTATCGAGGCTTTCCATACTAAGTGGTTTTGGACAAGACCTAAGGAAGGTAAGCATCCCATAAACATGTTATATCTCAATCAAAAATCATTCTTTAATAATCTTGTAAACTTATTCTTTCATATAGGCTTTTACTCCGTAGACGTGGGTTTAAAGAGTACAGCCTCCGATGCAAACTTCAAGGGCAACAAAGCTTTTGCATTTGGAGATTTGAACAATGACAAGCTAAACGATTTGGTGACAGTGAGTGAAGATCAGAAGAGTTTCTAGCCATATTTCTACAACAGCGAATCATTTAAATTTACATCAAGCCCTCTATCAACCGCTGTACCTGATGGATTCCATATAGTCTCCATCTTCATCAACAAAGAGCAAACCGGTCAGTAATATCTATTCGTGACTATGCAAAATGATGTTACAAATGTGGCTTAGATAAAGCTATATGTGCCCGCATCAGATTCTAACTCATATGTTGATAATCCAGCAGTCGCTCCCATTATGATCTAATACAAATCACAACCTTTCTTTTTCGACGTAAATGGTGACAGAAAGTAAGCATGCCTACTTATTAATGTGCTATAGAAATGAGATCATGTTTAATTCACCTGACTAGGTTGATGGCAATTACGTTGTTAAGGTTGGAGCTTTCAATAGCTAAAACCAATTTGTGGTCAAAGACTTCTCTGAGGAATATGCAATCTTACCCAGCCAGGATTCAAACTGCAAAACACCAATAGCTGGCTCACTTTCGATTCCCCATTCTGGTTCATTCTTGGATATCGATGGAGACTGCATGCCTGATCTCTTCTTAACCAAGACATATACCAACCCAGAAGGAGTTTCCTCCACTTAGTATGAAATTTACATCTAGAAGAAATTCAACAACAGACAGAGGTACTGTATGGTGCAAACTGATGATTTCAAATACCTTGGAGGTGCTGAGAGCTAGATTCCACTAATAAATTTCGCAGATATGGACAGAGATGGCATGACAGACATGGTGTTCTTCAGGGACTCTGCTGTCCACACATTTTACAACTAGTACATAGCCAACTCAGCCTCTGAGACTAATCTCTGCAAGACTGCCTATGAATCACAGCATTTGGTAAACAACAGATTCTTCGGCTACTTCAACAACATTGGCAATGACGACAAGGTAAGTTCACCTAAATCCAAATCATCATCATATTTTAGAATATCTAAAAGCAAACAATGTACTTCAGCGATGACAAGATTATTGAGTTGACAGATGTAGCAAAAGATGTTCCGGGCAGAATACAAATTGCTGACATTGATGCTGATGGCTTCCCAGACGTGCTCTTAACTGGCAAAATTTTAAGAGATTCCAAAGATATTTCCCAAACAGCAGTATTCATGAATAGCAAGGCTTCAGTAGAGACAACTTCATAACTCATTATTGATAATGCTCAAGGTGCTTCCAAGACTCAAAACGGAATCACAAAGGATAGCAGAAGAGAATTGTCAGAGTAAACTGGCGATTACAAAATCTAAGACATAGCTGGACTTACTTCAACTGGAGGCGCTTTTATCGATATCGATGAAGATGGAAGAATAGATGTGTTACTCTAAAAAACCTCAGACAAGCAGATCACAGATTTACTATGTGTATATAACAACTATGTCAAGGATACCTTCTTCTTAAAAGCATTGATGGTTAACACTGTCAATGCCTACGGCAATGCTCTTTCAGGTCCATCCTACAGACTGATTGTTACTGATTTGAACGATGAGAAGTTCGTAGTAATTGGCTCATAACTCACTTAATCTGCCTACAATTCAATCCAAATGCCATACTGCTACTTGGGAGTGGGCAGAAGTAACAACTATGTTGAGTCATTCACAGCTGCCTACTCAATTGAAGGCGAAAGATCAATCAGAGTCTGGACTCCAATCATCCCCAACTCCCAACTTATTATCTTTGCTCCAGAACAGAATGTTAACAACTGGACTCTCGAACTATTCATTAACCCCACAAGTTCCCTAGCCTTAATCGTTATTGCATGCCTCATCTGTCTATTCATAATTGGAGTTGTGATCATTATTTTACACATTGGCGAGAAAAAAGAGGATCAAAAGAACAAGCAAAAGGCATTCGATTACTTGTGAGATCCAGACACAGTAACTATTTGCAAAAACAATATTGTCATTATTAATCAATTAGCATTCCTTATAGTTTTAATCATGGGGTTTTGGGGTTTTGGGGTTTTGGGGTTTTGGGG